GAGTCCAGGTGTACTGAAGACCTTGGTAAGTGAAAGCAAACAAAAACTGACTATCAGGGTGAATAGGAATAGAAAAGAAGGCAGAACAGAGGTCTATTACAGTAAAGTGAGTATCAGTAGCAGGAATACAGGATAATATAGTGGCTGGGTTGGGAACAACAGGTGAAGTAGGTAGGACTGCAGCATTGACAGCACGAAGGTCTTGTACAAAGCGATAAGTATCTCGACCGGGTTTTTTAATAGGAAGGATAGGAGTGTTGCATGTGCTACGGGTCAGGATGATGATTCCTTGTTTAAGGAGGGAAGTAATAACAGGTCGAATGCCCTCCTCGGCTTCTTTAGAAATAGGGTACTGCGGAACACAAGGGAGAGGTTTGGCAGGATTGAGAGTGATGTGCACAGGCTCTGCGCTGAGCATGTGGCCCACCTCATTGGCATGGGGAGACTGTGGAGGGACTTGAGCCAACAGTTCCTGTTGCAACAAGGAAGTGTCAGCTTCAAAATTAACCTCCAGTTGTTCTTGTAACAGAGCCAAAAACTCAGCCTCCCTTGGTTCCGGCACTTCTAAGTATATGCCATCTAGGGAACAGTAGATGACACAGCCCAATTTACACAACAAATCCTTTCCCAAAAGATTTACAGGAGTAGAGGGCCTAAGCAAAAAGGCATGTGTCTCAGAAATGGGACCGATAGAGACAGTAAGGGGTTTGGAAACAGGGTGGGGTATAGGGTGTCCGCTAATGCAGACAGCATTAACAATGTTGTCAGAAAGAGGTATGTTGGAGAAATCAGAAGCTTTTAAAGTGGAGAGGGAATCTCCTGTGTCTACCAGGCAAGATATAATCCTGCCGTTTACAGAACAATTAAGAAAAGGACCAGATAGGTCAAGTGAAATAAGTGGAGTGATGATGTCATCCCTCAGGCTGTCCTATGCTTGGTTAGGGAAAGGAGGAATATTCTGAAGTTCAGCTGGTGCAGTGAAAACTCAATCAGAAAAATATTCTTGGGACCCTTGTGGTGCTCGGTACTTAGGTATAC